TGGAGGGTTAGGGTTAGGGTTAGGGTTAGGATTAGGGTCATTAATGTGGGCCACCAGTAACATCAGTAACAGGTCAGTTTGAAATGAAAGACACAATTCAGTTAAATTTTGGGGTCTTTGTTTTTATCCTTGAGGTATCGAAAATGGTATCGAGTATTTTCCTGAGTATCGGTATGGAGTTGAAAATTCTAGTATCGTGACAACCCTAATATCAGGGTAAATCTAATAAATCTGTCCAAAATTTAAAAAAGACAAGGAGCTAAGGTTTAAATAATGAGAGGTGAGTGGCACAGTGGGGATGAAATAGAGAATACAGACAGGACTCACCATTCTTAAGTTTGACTTGTTCTGTTCTGGCTTGAATGCTGAGGTTTCTGCTGGGTGAAGAGACGAGGTAATACTCTCCTTTTCCCGAGAACGAATACCCGACACCATCGAACGTTACAAAATGCAGATCCCCAAAGACAACACCTGCCAGGCATCAACAAACAAGAATTTATTTAATTTTTTAAAGCTTAATAAACTTAACTCAAATGTGTACTTTGGCCCAAACTCATTTACTTCTCTTGCTTATCTCTATTTCATTAAAGCAGACTTTTCTAATATCAGGAGGGTCTCTGGTGAGTATGCGGTCCATTTTATGATCTGATATTTTTCACATCTTAACGTTCGGCTTCAGTCTGTAATTCATTTACTTTGCCCCACAGATTCATCTGGAGTTCCTGTGAGGCACTTTGAGTTGTCTTGTACATGAAATGTGCTGTAAAATAAACTTGCCTTGCCTATAAAGCCCGTTTTCAGATTGTGAGATCCCCAACACAAAGGCAGTTAGATACAGATTTAACCCTGTAATGCCAAATGTATCATATTTGATTCATACGTTTTCTGAAATGTTTTGCGTCTGACACCTTTTGCATAATTTAACGGAAAAAAACTTTGCTCAAAATCCTATTGTTCACAATCAGATACACCTGATAACAGGGGGCAGAAGACTACACAAAAACTAATCTTTACTTATCGCATAGTAATAAATTATTAATATAAAAAATGTTTTTCTGTTTTTTCTTTTTACATATTTTTTTAAAAGGCCAAATAAGGAATTCAAACAAAAAAAAAAAGTGATTTTCTGTTTTGTTTTCTTCTTGGATCGGGCTTTAAAGGGTTAAATCAGTACTCATAAAAAAAAAAGGCGCGTCCCCCATGGGGGGCTCGTGAGCATTTTGACTGATTTTTCAAGAGCCACAGAATAGTTTGTGCTATGACTATGTGAACACCGAACACACCAAAAGAAAGAGGAGACTCTCTTCTTTCATCAGGAAAAAAAAATTGTTTCTACCTTATTCCGTTCTTCCTGGACTTGCGTCTCACCGGCGACATGTGCTCTCATATCGAACCGTTACCTTTTTCTTATTTGCCTACAGTCTATGCTCATCTCCCATCAAAAGTGGCACTGCCCCCTAGAGGGTCAATTTGTTACTACATACTCTGTCGAGAAGCC